CAATTTTTAACAATCAAAAGACGTTTTATAATTTTTTGGGTGCAATTTTTAACAATCAAAAGACGTTTTATAATTTTATTGAACGACCAAAATGTGGTAAACAAAAAGTGTATTGTATACGGGGAAATGTACAAATGCGTGATGGAAACTGAATGCAAAGGTATGTGCTGTTTGTGTTTGCGTACAAAAATTACAATATGTACAAGTGAAATAGATTTACTTTTAACGTCTAAACTAAACGCTGTATAAGACCCGACACTCGATTTTGTAAAACAAATTGGGCCGAGATTTCTTCTCTGGATTCTCGCGGGAAATATGAATGTCATATCGGTACAAATCCATCGTAACCTGGGCTTCCGAACCCGCGACCTCCCTTCATTACTTCCGCAAAAAAATCCTGCATCGATATTACCGCAGATCGCAAAATATTCCATGATAACGATTGATCCGTTCCATAAGTTCCGTGTATAACCGCCTCGTACGGTTCAACGTACAAGTAGGAATTATACGCCCTTCGGGATCTGGTAGAAAGCTCGTTAGTATTGAGGCATAAATGATGAAAGGAAAAAAAAGGCAACCCCAACATATCCACTTACGCCCAAATGAGGCCGACTATAGTCAGCTCTATTAATAATATCACGGTCAATAATACCGTCCAGTTTATGCTACTGTAAAGTGTGCTGATTATGTGCCTTATCAGGGTGAAAGGGAAGAGCGCGATCGATATTAAAGTGCTAATTCGACTTTCTGGAGTCGGCGGGGTTTCAATCACTTGAGGCGACTATTATTAGGGAAAAAAAAATTTTTTTTGAGATTTTGTGGCGCAGTAAGAAAAAAAAAAAAAGAGAGAATGCCGTTTTTAAAAAACACATACCTTTCCTTTGCTCTGAACTTTGATTAGGAGATCTTTGATGCTGCCGCGCAATTCTGATGCATTTCGGTCGAGCTCTTCATTAGCTTTGGCTTTTGAACCGAATTGCGCCAAAAGACTTTTCAGTTCGTTCTATGTCATTTTAAGACACAATAAGCGATTTTCAAAATAATATGTATTTAGGATTACGTGACAACGCTCCTACTCACCCCTGACTTCTCATATTCGGCTTTTTGTTTGTCTTTTTCATTCTCCATTGATTTTCGTTTCTGTCCGTATTGCGCAGCTTTTTTTTGTCTCTTTTCCAATTCGGCCTAATTAAACATTTGAAGTTAAATTCCGTAAGTATTTATAGTCTCTCGGTTAGGAATCAGACACATTCTTTTTGAGAAAGTAACTGGTCATGCACTCAATGTCCGTTTTGCGAGCTTATCTCGCAAAAATGCCATCGACATGGACGTGCATTTTTTTTTTAAGATACCAACCTGCTGTTGCATTTTTTCTTTTTCCGGTGGACTTGAATACGGCATTCCGATGCCATGTTGAATAGGTTGCGAAGGTATTGTTATTTCTTTAGGAGCTGCCATTGATTAAATTGGTCAAAGAAGTAATTTAATGAATTTCTCGAAGTGTTTTTATTATCTATGTGATTTTATGACTGTGCAGAATTTAATTGTTCCGGTTTTTTTTTTTTTTTTTTTGTTTGAGGGGGAATCTGGGGAGTGGCACGGTGATTATGGGTGGGGGTTTTAAACAATTTAGGGGGACTGTGTTTTACCGACAATGCAGATGGCGGAACTTCTTCATTTGGTCAGATTATCAAACGGATATGTCAAAAGCACTAAGCAAATCGGTAGCAAAAAAACCTGTTGTCAGTGACACCGTCTAAAAACTGCCGTTACCGATGTATCATCATATGCGATACCGTTATCAGCACCATCAGTACATCATTGGAAGTGATTTTACACGCACACGTCTCTTCGTGACACGTATGTGGCTACGTTACATTGGTGCGACTTTATCTTGACATCATTGTATTCATTATTTGATATGCGTATGTACTGTACGTTTGCGTACAAATGTCTATGAAGTTCAACAAACTTGTCAACTTGGAAATTGAGGTGATACGATGTTTCAAATCTGGGGGTAAACAAAATACATCATCTGAATATCTTTGACCGAATTTGGAGGTTATGACATCTCATCCTCTTTTTCTAGTTCCTTGTGCTCAATGTGCCAACGGTGTTCTGCGCATCGATGTGCTGATAGCGCTTTATCCACATACGCATTGGTGATACATTTTGCATTGTGTACGTATATGCATACTTATAAAAACTTATAATATTTACGTAAAAAAAGAATTATTATTACTTTACACTTTAATTATCAGGTATCTATGAGAAGGAATATCCGGAACGAGAATACTTTATACTTCCGAGTCGCGTTCTTTTTCAATTAAGAAGGGTCATGAGGACCGTGATGAAGTTGAAATGGGCTCTTTGTGCATTCGATGACAACGAAAAAATATGACATAAACGGTATGTGATAGCACAACGATTTGGATTGCGCGTCTCTCGAAAATCTTGGATAATTAAGATTAAATTAAAAAAATTTTTTTTCCAGTGACATATTGTTACCGATATTATTGAAGAAAACAATAGAGGCAACATCTGGTGGTATGCGCTAAGTCACACAAGTGACCAATGGAGTATGTCAGATTCAATTTCAAATTGTCTGAATCGACTATGACACCTCAGTTGCAGTTTACAGTATACCGGACGCTCTTAAATATTTGTGTGTGTGATTATATTTAATTGTACTTTTAAGAAACGCGTTTAAAATCGAAGATGCAAGAATTTATTAAACATCGACTAGAAATTTTGTGCACTCTACATATGATACATGAATTTTTTAAACATCGACTAGAAGTTTTGTGCACTCTACATATGATACAGGAATTTATTAAACATCGACCAAAAATTTTATATATACAGTTTACTGTATACGATACATCTTTACTAAATTTCGGATATACTGTACAATATATTTTTTAAGTAAAAAAAAAAAAAAGAAAAAAAAAATTAAAATTATTTGTGGAAATCAAATATAACAATATACCATATATTATACTGTATATACTGTATACTGTATATCGTTAAATAATAATCATATGATTCATAAATCAGTAGTATTAGATTCATCTTAAAAAATTTTGAAAATAATTATGTACAGATATTTAATTTATAAATCAAATAATATTGTAATTCAATTGTTTATTTCACTTAAACAAAAAATTTTAAATAATGTATATATAAATAAACTTACAAATCAAGATATACCAATGTTATTAATCTTATTTCGATTTAATTATGTAAATTAAAATTACTTAATTTTGATTAAATATCAAATTTTTAAATTATTATTATTTTTTTTTTTTTGTATATCCACAGTCAAGCCAAATCATAATTTATTAATCAACTAAAAACATAAGTATATTTTCACTCAAACAACATAATACATATTATAGATATATATCAATTTCAAATCTAACTAACTCATCATAGACAATAATAACCTCTAAGTTTGGCCTTGTGAATAATGTTTTACTTCATAATAGACTTTAAATAAAAATTTCTCTAGTCTATTACTTCATTGCTAGCAGTTTGTCACTACTAAATATCCTATCAGGCCACTGGAATACAGGAAACTACAAAAGGATAAATTGATAAAAGAAAAAAAGAAATATCTAAAAATATTTAAATGGATTACAAAAAAATAAAAATATAAAAAAAAAAATAACATTCTTCAACTTTTTTCAAAAACTTGTTTCTCAAGACTTCTTCTTAATAAGAAATATTTTATTGAAATATTCTTTCTTTTCCTTATCATTTAAGGAACTTATTTATTTTTGATCTAAATTTTCTTCTTATATATTGTCTAAGAAGGTTTATTACTTAGTAAAATCTTTACTTCTAGAACACACTTGATTTTAACATTCTTTGAGCAGTGATTTTTTATTTACCTACAGTAGACAAATAACTTATAATAAATTATAGGTTCTTATATAACTTAGTAAAAACAAAGTTATATTATTTCAATATAATACCTTCTAACAACTATACCTAGTTAAAAAAATTTTACTGATAAATATTTTCTATTACTTAAAAAACTAAATTCCTCAATAATCTTTTTGCCTTTAATAATAAAAAAATTTCAAAAAGAAATAGGAATTCTTGTCAATTATAATATTCTTCAACAACTTTTAAAAAAATATATTCTCAACTGTAACTAAAAAATCAAAGCTTAACATGAACTAGAAATCATTTGATTTTATTACTTAACTAGAATAAAAAGGAAACCTTGGTCTTAAACTTTGTCTACTGAAATAATAAAAGAAAAAAACTTTAATTTAAATTAATAACAACTTTTTTACTACCTGAAAACTTATTGTTTATATCTTATTGATCTCATAGAACTTGATTTGTAAGTTAATTTAATTAAAGGAGTAAAGCAGAAACAAGGTACCAATCAACTTTTTTTATTATCAATACTGTCATTGAAACATATGAGATAACTAGTAAGAACTTGTTTATATTTAGCTACTAACATGTTTCATATCTATTAATTATATTTACAATAAATTGTATCACTTAAAATTCAGGATCAAACTAAAATACAGTCTGGTTCAAAAAAAACCAGATTTTTTTTTTTTTTTTAGAAAATCTCTATAAGTCATGCAGTTAATATCAATTAAAATTTTTTTTTATAAAAAAAGAAAATCAAGGATTGTATATTATATTATCAGTCAATATTTTCTCAATATTTAGTTATTTTTGCAGAAAGGGGATATTGAATGTCAGTCAAAAGAAAAAAATATCAATGTAAGATTCTATTACAATTGTGGGATAATGGTATATAGGATGCAAAAAATATGTATACACTTGCAAAGTTTTCTTTTTTAACTATCTATTAAAATTTAAAAAAGCTTAAAAAACTCAGTTCTAATAAGTATTCAGATAGAAATGGCTGGTCAAAAAAGATTGATGAAGCTTCTTCACAAACACTTGGGTGGTATATTCATAGGGATAATTCTCTATCGATAAGAGCATATGATCAATGTATTATATATTGAAAAGTCAGATTAAGATTTTAGCTTAAAAGAGTTTTATATTAGGGAAAAATCAATTTTATTTTTTTTTCAATAGATTATAAATACTAGTTTTTATGTAAAAATTATTTGAAAACATATTTCAAAGATTAAAAAGGTACTTGGTAATGAGTAGTTCTTCCAGTAAGATAATGATCTGAAGCATACGAGTTGCTTGGCAAAAGCTTTTATTGATAAAAATATATCAGATATTATTGATTGACTATCAAATAGTCCCAATTTGAATTCTATAGAAAACCTATGGAGTATTGTCAAGGGCAACATGGAGAAACATATGTCAAAAAATCAGAATAAGTTGGAATAGTATATGGATGAAGAATATAAAAAAATATCAAAATTTGTTCTAATAGAATTGGTTTAGTTAATAAGAAGATATTGTAAACTAATTATTGAAAATAAGAAGAAGCATATTTCATATTAAACTTTATTTTTTAAAAATACATTTACTAAACTACATATAAATAAAAGTTCATATAATTCCATATGACCATTATTGTGTAATAAAAAAAAACAAATTCCAGTTTTTTTTGGACCAGACTATAGATAAAATTTTCCAGAAATCCAAAAAATCTTAAATAATTATAAGAGAAAAGAAACAATAGATAGATACTTTGAAAATATGACTTGATGTTAGCTGCCTCCTACTGCACAAAATTTTTATAAATATGCTTTAATATAAAAGATTTTGAGTACTATACTATTAGTTCTTTTTTCTTATAAAACTTTCTTGCTATAGATAGAAAAGGTGTTTCTTTACTTTTCTAGATCACAAGAAGTTATGTTTTTGTTTGAAAACAAACATAAACAAGAAAAGTGATTTAGAAATATCTCTTGAAGTAAAATTTTAAGTTGATTTAGAGATAGTATTAAGATTTTATTAACAAAGAAATAAAAAATTTCTTACAAACATCTTTTTTATATATAGGAAAAATATTAACAAAAAGAGTTTCAATACTTATTATATTTAAAAACTAGTATTTTTTATTATATATAGAAAATTAATAAATCAATTAATTAGTATCTATTACTTTTTAAAATTAATCTCTACTCTTAATATTATTAAATTTAAATAAAAGATATCAATATTCCAAAACCACTTTTTAAATAAAATATAAATATTATAAGTTTTTTATCCTTCTTTTTGACTTAACTAATATTTCTGTTTCTTTTATGATATTAATAAATAATATATTTTAAGAATATCTAAATAAGTTTATTTAAATAATATTCTAATTTACAGTTTAATTAAGAAAAAATATTTCAAGTACATTCGACCTATTCTAATTATTTTTTAATATTACAAACTATATATATAAGTAAAGAAATAGGAATGGATATAAAAATAAATAAAATATATCAAATATTTTATATTTAAGTAAATAATTTTTATTGATTTAAGAAAAGTTGAAACTATTTAAA